ACCTATTTTGAAACAAGATGGTATTTTTAAGTGTTTATGAGAACAATTTGATGTTTAGCTTCCATTTTCTCAATCAAAAATATGACTTTTGGGCCTCCCTGGTGGCGCAAGGGGTTAAGCACTGCACTATGAAACAATCACAGGCTCTGCAGCACAAGTTCGATCCCCAGCCAGCAAGGGAGCAACCCACATGGCGCAGCAGACCTCTCCTGCCTCGCCTGCTGCTCCCTTCAGCAGTGTATTTCAGTCAGTTTGCCTGTTCTGTTCCCCACTCTGTCTCTGCTGTGTCCTCTCACCCTCCTGCACGTCTGGCCTGTACACCAGCTCTTGTATGCATAAATAAATTAATCTTTTAAAAAAAGTCTTTTTTTTTTTTAGCAAAGTAAAACATTGAAGCCATGGGGCCTCCCTGGTGGCACAAGGGGTTAGGACGCAGCACTATGAAGCTATTCGCAGCCGCTGCAGCACAAGTTTGACCTGGGCCAGGGAAGTGACCCACACGGAGCGGCAGACCTCTCCTGTCTCACCTGCTGCTCCCCTCAGCAGTGTATTTCAGTAGATCTGCCTGTTCTGTTTCCCACTCTGTCTCTGGTGAATCCTATCACCCCCCAAACCTCTGGCCTGTAACCCATTTCTTGAATGCACAAATAAATATTTAAAAAAAATAACTTTGAAGCCATGTACAACTCCTAGTGAACTATTACTGAACCACCGATTACCATCAGTCAGAGAACACTAAACAGAGTGAAAAGTTGAAGGAAAGGAGCAAGAAAAAATATCTTGAAGCTAATAAAACAGAAGCCCAGGATAGGAGGCCGAACTGGCTGCAGCTACTGTGGAAAGGCTAACTCGGGAAAGACGTGTTCCTCCCAACCAGGAAGAGCTCCAGAAAGGCCATCATTGCACTCATGCCCATCGTGTGGGATGCCTTCCTGAGCACTGGCATCAACTTCTCACAGGAATAAGCTTTGGAGAGACTCCCCTCATGTACTTGAACCCTATACTGACTCACACAGACAATATCCTCTCCTCTCATGATTCAGTCACAGTGCCCATCGTATATGACGTTTCTGAGTTCACACAGCTCAGATTTAAGCCTGGCTGCTACACTTTTAGTCGTGTGACCCCGGACACATTTTTAAATAAAATATTAACGGCACCTACTTCATTGAGTTGATTAATATTCATAAAGAGGCTGAACAGTGCCTGGCAAAGTTTACATTATTATTTGTATCTTAGAGGACAAGATCTTTCAGTATGATTAGAATTCTTTTTTTTTTTTAAGATTTATTTATTTATTTATACAAGCACTGGGTACAGTCAGAAGCACGGGAGGGTGAGAGAATTCACCAGAGCCAGAGCGGGGAGCAGAGCAGGCAGAAGGACCGAAGTACACTGCTGAGGGGAGCAGCGGGCGGCAGGGGAGGTCTGCATGCTATGTGGGACCCTCCTCCGGTGGCCGGGGAGCAGCCGGGGATCGAACCGGTGCTGCAGAGGCTGCGGGCAGCTTCGCAACCCAGCGCTTAACCGCTGTGCCACCGGGGAGGCCCTGATTAGAATTCTTTATACAAATAAATAAGATGAATTTCTGTTTCACTATTATTAAGTTCCCTAGACCAATGTTCTGTGAAGTCCTACTAGTCTAATACGAATGAATATAAAGAGAGTGAGTTTGTGACATGATTTTGAGGTTGTTTACTATTTCAAATCAAACATACATGCTATTTTATGGCATCATTCAAAGACAGGATCAGTCATTTTTCCATTACTTGGAGATCTGCATATACATCATTTCTTGTGCTAGAAGTCTGTTTTCCATCAGTTTTATGTAAATGAAAGTGGATTATTTCATTTAGATTAAACAGATTTAATAGAGTCTATTAAATTAAATGTTACTTTCTACATTCTCACTGCAAGTTATCTGTTCTCTTATAGATCGTTCTTTCTGATTTTCTTTTCAATTTGGAAGAACACAGCACATTTAGATTTACCTGTTTGTAACCCTTCCTCCACCAGCATCAAATTCAAAAGAGGAATGTAGGTAGTACATACATTGTTTTGAAATTATTTTTCTTTTTTCAGAAAATTTCAAATCTGGACATACCTAGCATGCTATTACTACTCAAAGAAAAGCACAATGTTTGGTTTTCCTTAATATTTTGTTTGAGCTTCTAAACTGCATTATGCAAAAGTAGCCAGGGTTCTTTGATCTTAGTAGATTGAATTTGTTTTCTTTCCAAATCAAAGTCCCCATCGCTTCTCGGCCTTTTGGCTAAGATCAAGTATAGTATCAAAATCAAAGTCCTCTGTGTCATTAAAATTTATATCAATGTTACCTATATGAAGAAGAAAATAGTAACATTAATAGAAATGGAACTTGTTCAAACTTAAAACAGCCCCCACCAGTTTCCCACTCCTACCTTATTAATGGTGAGTTTATTTTTCCATCACACCACACAAAATCACAACAAAAAGTAAATTGTAGTTCTTGGGGTAAACATGCCTCATATAGCAGTAGCCCATAAACATGTTTTTGTTTCCCTGGCATTTTTTTAACATGAGTTATCTAAAAATCCAAACTTTTTTATGTGTAAATTTGGATTTTCAGTTTCTCTAAAATATTAGAAATTCCAGCACTTCTACATCCACAATTCTTAGCATGACAAATGGCTACTGGGGCCAAGCAGCTACTCCCCTTAAACAATGAGATGCCTACACTATTCAGTCTGCAACCTTAGGTGCTTCTCCTGGGTTTTTCCCAGAAGGAAGCACTGTTAATGCGCATATTTTAATTGCATATACTCCAAAACTACAGACGATCCCACAAGCATATACATGCAGCTTGATTCTACCAGCAGATAAACTACTATAACTATCATTGCAAACCAGGAAGTAATCTATTCACCAAGCAGGTCTGGTGGTATAAATGATGGTAAATCCAAGCAAGAGAATACAAGAAAGTCCCTTAAACAATAAGTAAGTCCAAAGCACACTGGGATGAAAACATAGGCAAACATATTAAATGCAAAGAAGCGAAGCATAGAAACAGAATGTAATGTGTGATCCAATCTGTGGGGGAAAGGAATGGATATATACTAATAGATGCTTCAATACGCATTTTAAATTTTTGGAAGAAAAGGTAAGAAAATTTTAACCAAGTGAAAATTATTCATATATATTACATATATACCTTGTGTATGTGTATATATTTTAAGTACATATATATATACTTAAAAAAGAAGCATAAACATGAACAGAAATATTTCAAATATTTCTTCTATAATTATCATCACATCTATTTGAGTGCCAGACTTCCTTATAAGGGTTTCTGCTGGTGTGATAGTTTCGGTTCCAGACTCATTTCTGAGGTAAGAAGAAAACATCTTGGGGATGGTCCTTCCCACAGCCTAAGAGCCTAAGAGCACAGAAATGACACAGCAGTTCACTTCGGATGCCATGTTTATCCACAGTGCTTTTAACTCTGTTTCCACCTCTTTTTATAAGCAGAGACAAAGGGTAGAGAGGGAGGCACGCCTCCAGAGGGAGCAGCCAGGCTGGGCTCCAGAGACCCCTTCAAACCCCTTTCACAGCTTTCTCTCTGGAGAGAGACAGAAAACCAGACATGGGGGTGTTCTCTGTATTATTGCCCTCCCTAATGCTGCTACAACTCTGAACACAGAGGCGCATGGAGAGGACAAGAAGAAAACCAGCTGGTGTCACACCAGCAAAAACCCTAACCCGTCAATGCCATACAGCAGGACAAGGACTGACTCTCCCCAAGGCAGGATGACAAGGTCACACATTCCTGTCCTTGTACTCGCAAAGGGCAACTGATTTGGCATAAGCATGCTTGTGATGTGCCTCAAGTTTTACCAGTCAGAAAGCCGGAGACAGCAGGGTGTACAGTCACCAGGGAGCTGGTACAGCCCTGTGATGCATATCCAGCAGAGGGGTCCCACCAGCACAGCACACTCCAGGAAGGATGCTCATGAACAGCCACTGTGGATTCTCCAATCCAGCTGTCCCCCGGGTCTCAAGATCATGAGGCAACTGTCAGCCCTTCCCCCATACTGGGATCCTCCAGACCCCCCTCTAACCCCCTGAAGACACCCAAGCCACACCAGAATCAAGGAGCAGACATATAACACTTCTATAAGTTATCACTCCTGCTGAAGCATATTGTGGAGGTGGGGGAAAGGAGCTGATGATTAATCAGCAAAAATGAAGAAACCTAGATGAGGAATAGATGACACCCCTATCATGACACTCTGCCCCCACTACGCACTCCAATGCTTCTCTTCAGACCCAAAGCCTAGGGTTCTAATATGTAATATAACATATATTCTTCTTCTCAATTGTAAGGTATTGATGCAAAGAAGCACATACTCTGTATTTAACACAGGCATCTGCTCAGAGCTAGCTAATGAAGTTAGAGCACTAGGCTGTATAATTTGGAAAGTAAAAGTCATAATTCATTCTATTGTATTACATATAGTATAATCACACTACTTTTGAAAGAAAGTAGGACAAAAATGATGCAGTATCTCTTTTGCTCTGTTCTCTTACTAACCCCTATCTTCTGCAACATTCTAATTTTCCTACACCCATCCCTTTGTGCTAGAATTCAGTCCCCACTCATTCAGAATTAGTTACAATACAAAGTACCCTTCAGTCTTCAGCCTGAGTCTTCAGGCTGTGGCTTGAGAAACAACTGGAAAGATTACAGATGGGCTGGTTAAGCCATTTCACATGATAAACTACCTCCACACTCTTTGGTGGCACTGCCTTGCTGGTTTTGTGCTATTTGCATCATGAAGATAATAATTAGAAATCAGACTTACTTATCAACAAGTCTATCCAGACCAGTTACAAGTAGCGACTTTATGTCAAACATCTCATCCTTCATTCTTTTCTTTGTTTCAAGCTGCTTGTCTGAGTAATTGCTTTTTCCCCCCTAGACATTATCATTTACACACAGTGAGACCTGAAAACATGCTCACCTCTGAGTCTTTGGCCTGCTGATTGCGAACGACAATTAAATTGTACAGGACTCTATCGTCGTCTGCCTCCGTGTGGGACACATCGTGGGGCATACTCCACAGGTTCTTCTCATCATCCCTCGCGAGAGTGGCTCCAAAGGAGGAATATGGATTATTACTGTGGTATAAAAAAGGGGTATGAGGGCTTTGTAATATATATATTATATATTATACCTATACATTATACAGTATATACCTACAGGATAAAATATCACATGTATGTAACATATAACTTAAATACAATATATATCATAGAATATATAATGTAATAAATATAAATAAATATATTTCTTATGAAAAGATCTGAATTTTTAAAAAAATATTTATTTATTTATGCATACAAGAACTGGGGTTGAGAGGATTCACCAGAAACAGAGCGGGGAACAGAACAGGCAGACTGAGGAAATACATTGCTGAGGGGAGCAGCGGGTAAGACAGGAGAGGTCTGCTGCACCATGTGGGTTGCTCCCTGGCAGGCTGAGACCGAACTCATGCTGTAGAGGCTACGGATAACTTCATAATTCTGTGCTTAACCCTGTGCACCACCAGGGAGGCCCTAAGATCTGAATTACTTTAATAGTTACCCATAGTAATACATCACTTTAAAAAGAGCAGAGAACAGATGTAACCAGATACCTGGACAGAGGGAATTTTACTGCATTAAACACAAACTCTAGCACAGAGTACCTGGCCACTGAACTACAAATGAAATTCCATGGCAGGGAGAATTCTTGTGTGCTTGAAAGAAGAACACAATGAACATAAAGAGACAAGTATTTTACTGGCTCTAAGTGTAAGGAAAGAATAAATTTAGAATATAATGGGATGCATCAATATCAAATTCCTTCCAATGAGGGCCTCCCCGGTGGCGCAGCGGTTGAGCGCTGGGTTGCGAAGCTGCCCGCGGCCTCTGCAGCGCCGGTTCGATCCCCGGCTGCTCCCCGGCCACCACAGGAGGGTCCCACATGGCGCGCAGACCTCCCCTGCCGCCCGCTGCTCCCCTCAGCAGTGTGCTTCGGTCCTTCTGCCTGCTCTGCTCCCCGCTCTGGCTCTGGTGAATTCTCTCACCCTCCCACGCTTCTGACTGTACCCAGTGCATGTATAAACAAAACAAACAAATAAATAAATAAATAAAGCATGCCTCTATAAAAAAAAAAAAATTCCTTCCAATGAGAAAATTAGGTAGTAAATATGCATATCTAAATAGTTTCAATACATAATGCAGAAAGTTGAGTAAGAATTCCAGTAACCTGTGCTGCATCTTTACTTTCTGATTTACCCTTTACAAGGTGACAGCCAGGGTCAAACTAACTTATCGAGGGACTACTGTCAGACCTTCACACCTGGACAGGTTTCTACATTGCCCCAGTTAACTTCAGTGGAACTGGACAGGCAGAGTCATGGGTCTATTGCCTTCTGATAATAACATGTATGAAACCCTGGCTCTGTATTAATCACAGGGCTCCATAAAATTGTGAGCCACACAGAATGGTCTCTGTCCTTGGAACTTGCTAGCATCTAGGGAGGAGGATCATTAATGAATGACCATGTGACTATGTAATTAAAAACTTTGAAAAGTGCTGTGAAGGGGGAGTTCACAAAGCTGTGAGAACTCATGGGGTAGGCATGAGGCAGACATTATGAAGAAAGGGTGCCTGAGTTTTCAGCCGAAAGACAACAACCAAGTTCCAGGCAAAGAAAATGTGTTCAAAGGTCCTGGGGTTGGAGGGAGCAGGGTGTGTGTGTTCCAAGAAAGAGAACATTGGCCAGAGAGTGAATAAGAAGCTGAAGGGGTGTATGAGGCAAGATACCCACAGTTTTGTAGGCCACGTTTCCTAGCATGTTTCTATGGTGGTCTTTATTTCTCAGAACAAGCTGAGATTTGGAAGGATTTTTAGCAGGACTCTGAGGTGGCATGAAGAGCACTACATGTTTTAAAATCTCTTTGGTTAAATGTGGAGAATGCTTTAGAAAGGTCAAGGGTATATCTGGAAGATTCATTAAGATGCAGGTGAGGTCACTCAAGTGTGACAGACCAAGTATGGGGTGGAATGATGGTGAAGAGCTGAAGAAAGCGCGCAAAGTGGAATGTGTAGAAGCTCTGGCTTTTCACCTGGGTGGTGAGCAAGGCCGCCTCTGAGGCCGAACTAGAATGCCCGGGGCCACGAGGTGGCAAACATACTGGCAGGTGTGATGTGAGGGCACAGCAAATAAGCACAGGCAGAAGATGCCCTGAGAAGCAGGCAGCACCTAGGAAGGAGGGAAAAGAAGCAGGCAGCACCTAGGAAGGAGGGAAAAAAGCAACTGACAGGTGGGTTGAAGACAAATATTAAGATTTAGGGCCTCCCCGGTGGCGCAGCGGTTGAGCGCTGGGTTGCGAAGCTGCCCGCAGCCTCTGCAGCGCCGGTTCGATCCCCGGCTGCTCCCCGGCCATCTGAGGAGGGTCCCGCATGGTGCGCAGACCTCTCCTGCCGCCTGCTGCTCCCCTCAGCAGTGTACTTCGGTCCTTCTGCCTGCTCTGCTCCCCGCTCTGGCTCTGGTGAATTCTCTCACCCTCCCGTGCTTCTGACTGTACCCAGTGTTTGTATAATAAATAAATGAATGAATGAATGAATGAATGAATGAATAAATAAATAAAATCTTAAAAAAAAAGATTTAAACAAACATGAGATACTCAGAAGCTGGCACAAACAAACACACACACACACAAAAAAAAAAAAAACATGCAAAAGGAAGCAAAGCACAGTCACCAAGTTGGGGTTCAGGAGTGGGAACCCTCTCAGGGAGGGAGGCCCAGGTCTGCAAGGGAGAGGCTCCTGCTGGAATAGCAGGGGCCCGGCATGCTGCTGATGGAGGACTCAGACTTGGGAGAGCTACAAGGGCCCACTTGTGAGAACTGGGTCAAAGTGGGGCTTGGGGTCTCGAACCCCAGGCCAGCAGGAGGCCAGCTACCTGAATGAGGAGGAGGGCAGAGCGCTGGGGTGCTGAACAGTCTCCTTTAATCCCTACAGCTGCAGTACAGAAGTGCAGTGTCTGGAACTGGACAGGAAGGAGCAATGAGGGGGAACTTAGCTTAACCACACTGTTCTCAGAAGCACCACGTTTTTACTTGGGCCTCCTGACACCACAAAACCTGGAACAGAGAGGCCTGCCTCTTCTTAGGAATGTCTCTTCTGCCTGCAAGGGGAAGCCACTGACGTCTGTGCCGCGCCAGGCGAGCATAAAGGGTCAGGTCAAGCTCCTTCATTCGTTAGACTCAGTTGCTCAACAAGCACGGAATGGACACCTGCTCTATCCTGGGTGAGGGGCTGTGCTTTGACTTGAAAATAAATAGAACATTGTCCCTGTTCTTAGTGTGACTAAAATACAATGAGATAAGTGAAATTTTTAAAAAGTATAAACAGAATGTTATAGGAGCAGAGAAGGAGCTATGATGAGAAAGGAGCTCAAAAAAGGTTTCTTGGAGGCGGTGACATCTAACCAGCTCCAAGGAGCACATGGCCTTTCCCAGGGAGCAGCAGGAGCAGTCGCAGTGTGTGGAGGCTTGAGTGCCGCAGGGTTGAGGATCCCAAGTCCTTCTGCCTGCCCACTGCACACCGAGGCCTTCTGCCCATCCCCACCACACCGAGGGCTCCAGCCTGTCCAGCCACCCCGCCTTCAGGCTTCGTCCAGCAAACTGTGACCATTATTGAAGGACTCTGCCTCATCAGGCTTTTAGAGAAATGAATGAAGAAGGATGATGGAGGTGGCTTAGAAGCTGTCACAAGAGGTGGTTTTCATGTCTTGCTTTTTGAGGGGCTAGTGTCAGTGTCGGGGCACTGTGGGGAGCAGTGGAGGAGGAGGCAAACCAGAGAAGGCCACAACCAACCGCAAGCCGAGCAGCTGCTCTCCATAAATCTCCCTTGTGAGCGTGACAAGGAAGACTTCTCTGGGGCACAGGGAGGATGAAGTTCCATTGCTAAGGAAACAAATACCTCACTTTGAAAGATTTTAAATCTTGATGGAGGTGAACAGGAAGTAAAGTGTGGGCTAGGGAGACAGCAGTGGAAGGGAAACAGGAAGATGGGTCCAGCAACATCAGGAGGGGAAGTGGCAGCCCTGATGACGGCATGTGAGGGGGATGCCTTCAGCTGGATGGCATGGAAGAGCCAAGGCCGACCCGGGGACCTGCAGGAAGCTCAGAGAAAAGTCAGGGCCTGGGCTTAGGAGCAAGGGCAGGACTGCAGATCTACACGAGGGAGAAATATACTCGCATTCCCCTCCCGCCATGGGATCTGAGATACACGTTGAGAACGGGGAGCGGAGCAAGAAGGACCACAGGGGAACAGCTAGACCTGAGGAGCAGGGGTGCAGAGGAGGCTGGAGAGGGCAGGTGAGAGCCACAGAAAAGAGGACGCTGAGACAGAGAGGAATTCCAAAGAGCAGATGACGCCACAGGAAAGTCACTGACTCCAATTTCTTTTGCCTAAATGGTTTTTGCAGCTGACAAAGCATTGCTCCTTTATTCTGTGCTTTCCAAGGGCTTCCCCAAGGCCTCCCTCCTGTCATACCACCAAGGTGGGGAGAGCAGGGGCCACTATCCCACTTTGCAGACAGGAGCAAGACTGCAGAGCTGCTGGCCTCTCCCAGCGCAGCAGTCAGCTGACTGTCTGCCCAGCGTGAGGTCACAGATGGGGAGTCTCCAAGCACCACCTGTCACAAGACTTAATACCCAAGTGCCTTGAGGGTGATGCACCCACACAAACAGGTCTGTTCAGACCATGACTGCATGTGTGAAGTGATCCCTGAGCAAATCAGAAAATTCCCCTGGGGCTTCTCCTCCCAGCATCTTGACCCTGAATGCACCCAGCTTTTCCTGGGTGGGGGTGGGGAAACCCCAGCCACTAACTCTGCAGCAAATGTCCCTCTGCAGGAACAAACCCCAAGACTACTTTCCTGAAAGCTCTTTTCTTCCCCCGCCAATCTCCCCCAGGCTTGTTTCACTTCTTTAACTTCTGCCTCTTCGGGTAAGTTCCCCTGAGGCAGAAGTGGTCTCCAGTCTTCTCCATCCCACATTGCAGGCAGGGACAGGGGCAGGCACAAGCACTTGCTGAACAGAGCAAGCTGAGCTGTGATCCC